CTGAACTGGACTTTGATGAACTTATCCGGAGAGGTCTGTCAGAAAAGGCAAAAACATGTTTTAATAAAGAAAAATCCCCTGCAGGTTTTACCCTGCACCGTCAGATCTATGGGTCTGCTTTCAATGTTAGGGAACCCCTACCCTGGTCTTACCGCACCATGGTATACTTTTCATTTGTACTGGATTGTCTCCATTGACTCCGTTAACAGGTGGGAGGGGCTAACTCCTTTTGCAGATTGAAACCATTGGATCTGAGTTTACTGTGACGTATGTAAGGAGCCCGAGTGAGTGAGGCATTTAGCATTTAGCCTAGCTTTAGCATGTAGCCGAGCTTTAGCATTTAGCCTAGCTTTAGCCATCTCCTTTGCCGCTAACCACAACATCTTTGCTTCAATGACATTTACTAAACATTCCTTTTGCTCCGGCTTCAGTTTCTTGATATTTGGATTGAACCAGAACAGATTATTTTACTATCGCATTCTCCATGGACCAGAGTTTACACATGGTAAGACCAGACCATGTAGGAGATGACCATGGACCAGAGTTTACACATGGTATGACCCAGACCTGTATGTTCCAGGTGCAGCTGGTCTTGGGTGGGTAGTTGGAAGGGTAGAAAGGAGTGGAGAAAACACCTTTGCCAGTGGTCATCAAACGTCCACATTCTGCAAAATAAAAATAAAAACGGTTAAGTCCCACAAACACACAAGTCTCTTCAAAACCACTCACAGCATTCATACCACAACGAAAACAATAATAAACTACAACGAGACAGTGTGTGGACCCAGAATTCACGTTTTTTTACTTAAATGGGATTGATTTGGACCCAGACCAAGCACTGAAGAGGTCTGCCTTACGTAACGTGTTATACTGCCCTCTGGTGGCAATCTGAAGAACTTTTCAGACAAGCTCAAAGTGAGAAAATAACAGCTTGAGTTGTAATGGAGGAAGCAGAGTGGGGTTAGTTACTCAAAAAAAATACTAATTTACTTTGTCACAATATATTCTAAAATTGATCATATTTGTGCTTTTGTATGTTATTAATATATTTAATAGTTGTGTAATTATAAGTGGTTTAATTTGACTATTTTTACTTTTAAGTTTAACCACAGAGACTTGATGAAGCAGAGACTGTGTTTTTGTCATTCTCTGGTTTTCAAATTGTCTCATGTTTCATATTTGTGATGTTTGTTGTTAATAAATATATAAATCATTTGTTTTGTTTTTGGTTGAAGTATTTTATAAGAAACTGTATTTGAATTATAAGTAGATTCCGAGTAATGTATTTTATCTATTTTATCAGATTCTAGTCACACAGAGACACACACAAGACAGACAAACACACACAGAGAAACAGACACACACACAGAGACACATAGACACACACAAGACAGACAAACACACAGACAGACACAGAAAGAGAGACACAAAGAGACAGAGACACACACAGACAGACACAAAGAGACACGCAAACACACACAGACAGAGACACACACACAACACATAGACACACAGAGACAGACAAACACAAGAAACAGACAGACAGACAGACAGAGACACAGGCAGACAGACAGAGACACAGGCAGACAGACAGACAGAGACACAGACAGACAGACAGACAGAGACACAGGCAGACAGACAGACAGAGACACAGACAGACAGACAGAGACACAGGCAGACAGACAGAGACACAGGCAGACAGACAGACAGAGACACAGACAGACAGACAGACAGAGACACAGGCAGACAGACAGACAGAGACACAGACAGACAGACAGAGACACAGGCAGACAGACAGAGACACAGGCAGACAGACAGAGACACAGGCAGACAGACAGACAGAGACACAGGCAGACAGACAGAGACACAGGCAGACAGACAGAGACACAGGCAGACAGACAGAGACACAGGCAGACAGACAGACAGAGACACAGGCAGACAGACAGAGACACAGGCAGACAGACAGACAGAGACACAGGCAGACAGACAGAGACACAGACAGACAGGCAGACAGAGACACAGACAGACAGACAGACAGAGACACAGACAGACAGACAGAGACACAGACAGACAGACAGAGACACAGACAGACAGACAGACAGAGACACAGACAGACAGAGACACAGGCAGACAGACAGAGACACAGACAGACAGAGACACAGGCAGACAGACAGAGACACAGACAGACAGAGACAGGCAGACAGAGACACAGACAGACAGACAGACAGAGACACAGACAGACAGACAGAGACACAGACAGACAGACAGACAGAGACACAGACAGACAGACAGAGACACAGACAGACAGGCAGACAGAGACACAGGCAGAGACACAGGCAGACAGAGACACAGGCAGACAGAGACACAGGCAGAGAGACAGAGACACAGGCAGACAGACAGACAGACAGAGACACAGGCAGACAGACAGAGACACAGACAGACAGAGACAAAAGACAGACAGAGACACAGGCAGACAGACAGAGACACAGACAGACAGAGACACAGGCAGACAGACAGACAGACAGAGACAGACAGAGACACAGACAGACAGAGACACAGGCAGACAGAGACACAGACAGACAGACAGAGAGACAGACAGACAGCACGCCCACACACACACACACCAGCCTCCTCGAGTTGAATCTGGGAGTAGTTTGCTCTGAATCCTGGGAAGTTTCTCTCGTTGTTTGTGACCAGCGTCAGGAGCATCACGTTTCCAGACGACAGAAAAGAGAGAGAGTGATGCGGATACCCACACTGCCTGGAACAGACACACAACTCTGATCCTATAGCTACAATATCAACACAACTGCACATGCATCTACAAGAATAATAAAAATATATTACCAAAATCCTGGTCACATTTATTCACTAAAAACAACATACATTTGATTTATTTTATATGGAAAGTTTTTGTTTCTTGAATGTAGTTTGTCATAAGATTATTTTACTATTTTTAAAGTAGCATTATGTAAGATTTTCATGTCAAGTCATCATTAAAGGGCCCTAATCTGTCATCACTAGAGGGCCCTAATCTGTAATTGTTAAAGGGCCCTAATCTGTAATCGTTGAAGGGCCCTAATCTGTCATCATTAAAGGGCTCTAATCTGTCATAATTAAAGGGCCCTAATCCGTCATAATTAAAGGGCCCTAATCTGTCATAATTAAAGGGCCCTAATCTGACATCATTAAAGGGCCCTAATCTGACATAATTCAAGGGCCCTAATCCGTCATAATTAAAGGGTCCTAATCTGTCATCATTAAAGGGCCCTAATCTGTCATCATTAAAGGGCCCTAATCCGTCATAATTAAAGGGCCCTAATTTGTCATAATTAAAGGGCCCTAATCTGACATCACTAAAGGGCCCTAATCTGTAATCGTTAAAGGGCCCTAATCTGTAATCGTTAAAGGGCCCTAATCTGTCATCATTAAAGGGCCCTAATCTGTCATCATTAAAGGGCCCTAATCTGTCATCATTAAAGGGCCTTAATCTGTCATAATAATAAACTGCTCTTTTCCAATACTTCTTTAACTGATAACAGAAGTTCAGAGATATTTGAATTTCTAAATTAATTTTCCAGCCTCTAAATCTTGTTCTTGTTTTCATTTCGATGTCCCGCCCTCACCCGTTTCACCAATCAGAAAGTCTGTGATCCGGGCGCCAGAACTCACCGCGTGGAGCTAATCTCACTGGTAAAGTACCATGTGGCTCAGAACTAAAAAAGGTCTCGTTATGATTCTCAAATCATTAACGACAAAACAAGGAATAAAACCAGGATTTCTATCTTTGTGAAAAAGGTGTTGGTTATAGATTTGTTGTTGACAAAACTCTTGTCTATTCAGCTGTTATGGTCCCAGCTGGATTCGTCTGCATATCTGGCAACCTGAGTCAGGGAGAGTGGGAGAGGCTGCAGTATCACTTTTGGCCACATTTTTACAAACTGCTGTTTTAAGATACTTCATAATATTATTAGAGAAAAAAGTCTGAGTTTTTAAGTTTGTTTTAAGTATTCTTTTTCTTATTTCTAGACTTTTCTTGTTTAAATCAAATAAGTTTGTGATGCTGTATTTTAAGAAAAAATCTAAAATGTTTAATAAATAAGTAAATATTACTTGAAAGGTATGTTTTTAAACTAGAATCAAGTCGTTTGGGGCTAGTTTTATATTATTATTTTCAGAAATTTAGGTCATATTTTCATGTTCTATTTTCAGATATTTATTTTAAGCAGTATTTTACTTATTTTCACATATATTTTCCAGTGTATTTGCCGAATTATTCTTTTTTAGCAAATACTTTTCCATATGGCCAAAAATACACATTACTTTTATTTGAAAATTAAATAAAACTGAAGTGAATGACATCACCTTTAAAGTAAAACATATCTTCAGCAGACTGATGTAATAAATAAAGAAGTGGCTTTAACTTCCGGGTGCACTTACTCGGTGATGAGGAGGTTCTTGATGGGAGCCAGCGAGTCGTACAGATGGATAAAGTCTTCCTCACAGTTGTCGTCCAGGTTTAGAGTGTGGAAGTCCAGTTTGACCCGGTATCCTGGTTCTGCCTTCAGCCTCCACTGGACAAACACATTTGGGGGGTACGGGTTGTCGGGGAAACCGGGGGACTCCACCACCCCTCCATCTTTGACATGCAGAGTGAAGGACTTCCTGACTGGACAGACAAGAAACATGTTCAGACGAAAACAAAAGAAGAGGCAAGAAAATAGTTCTTTCATGTCTTTAACTAAATATTTTTGATCATGGTTTGTAATTAGCCAATGCTAACGTATAGCATCTTCTTTCTTCTCAATAACGGCTTTACAGGGTGGTCCAAAAGTGGCTCTTGGTCCAAAAGTGGCTCTTGGTCCAAAAGTGGCTCTTGGTCCAAAAGTGGCTCTCGGTCCAAAAGTGGCTCTCGGTCCAAAAGTGGCTCTCGGTCCAAAAGTGGCTCTCGGTCCAAAAGTGGCTCTTGGTCCAAAAGTGGCTCTTGGTCCAAAACGGTCCAAAAGTGGCTCTTGGTCCATAACGGTCCAAAAGTGGCTCTCGGTCCAAAAGTGGCTCTTGGTCCAAAAGTGGCTCTTAGTCCAAAAGTGGCTCTTGGTCCAAAAGTGGTTCTTGGTCCAAAAGTGGTTCTTGGTCCAAAAGTGGTTCTTGGTCCAAAAGTGGCTCTTGTTTCAAAAGTGGTTCTTGGTCCAAAAGTGGTTCTTGGTCCAAAAGTGGCTCTTGGTCCAAAACTACGTCTGTTCATATTTACAGTCTATGGTTAAATCTCTGCCTTCGTGTAAATGAAAGGGTTTTAGTGTGTTTTAGTTCACACTTTGTTGCTATAAAAGTCCTGGTGCCCGAGAGCTTTCCATCCACAGACATGAGGTCAAAAGACGTATTTCACAAGATTTTATTGTTTTCAAATGTTCATGTGGGCGGAGTCATGTGGGCGGAGTCATGTGGGCGGAGTCATGTGGGCGGAGCCATGTGGGCAGAGTCATGTGGGCGGAGTCATGTGAGCGGAGTCATGTGAGCGGAGTCATGTGGGCAACGTCATGTGGGCAACGTCATGTGGGCAGAGTCATATGGGCGGAGTTATGTGAGCGGTGTCATGTGGGCGGAGTCATGTGAGCGGTGTCATGTGGGCGGAGTCATGTGAGCGGAGTCATGTGGGCGGAGTCATGTGAGCGGAGTCATGTGGGCGGAGTCATGTGGGCAGAGTCATATGGGCTGAGTCATGTGAGCGGTGTCAGGTGGGCGGAGTCATGTGAGCGGAGTCATGTGGGCGGAGTCATGTGGTCAGGTTCATGAGGGCGGGGTCATATGGGCGGGTTCATGTGGGTGGAGTCATGTGGGCAGAGTCAGGCTGGACACTGGGGTTAGTTTTCCTTTAAGAGCAGGCCACAAAAAGGATGTAACTTACCAAATAAGGACTTCCTGTTCATACGAGGATCGATGGCTGTGAAAAAAAGACAAAATTAAATATTCTTTTCCAAATGAGATTGTTTTATTTACTGTTTTTGTTCTTCATTCTGTTTAAAATGTGGACTTTTGATTTATTTTATAATCAAGGATGTAGTTTGTCCTTGTTCTGTCGATATGAACCAACTGGGACTCTGAGGAGCACAGGGACTGGCCTCCTGCTGGGACTCTGAGGAGCACAGGGACTGGCCTCCTGCTGGGACTCTGAGGAGCACAGGGACTGGACTCCTGCTGGGACTCTGAGGAGCACAGGGACTGGACTCCTGCTGGGACTCTGAGGAGCACAGGGACCGGCCTCCTGCTGGGACTCTGAGGAGCACAGGGACTGGACTCCTGCTGGGACTCTGAGATTAGCAGGAGACCAGTCCCTGTGCTCCTCAGAGTCAGGACTAACGATGAGGAGGCAGCCATTCAGATTCTTGCAGCTGAAACCTGGAGCAATCTTCCTGAAAACGCGAGGCTTCTTCTTCTCTGACATTGTTGAAATTCAGGTTAAAAACAGGATTTTATATTTTTATCTTTCTTTGTAATGTTCTGTGACTTCCGCCTCCTCCTTTTGATAAGAATTTATACCAGGCATGTCAAACTCCGGCTCGTGGGCCAAATCTGGGCCGCAAAACCATTTTTAGTGGCCCCTAACATTTTTTTTTAATTATTATTATGAAGTTATAGCATTGATGGAAATGAGTTACCAGTAAATGAGGAAACACACGCCTATGTTATACATCTATTTTCTCTTTTATTTATTATACTGTTTAAAACCAACCCAGAAGTTAAATAGTCAAAAATGAAATACTGCATTTAACTTTATATTTGGTCTGGTTTTGTTTAAATCTAAATAATAATAATTATAACGGCTCCAGAAATTATTGCTTGGATAAAAGGCCGACGCTCTGACTGATGTTTAGTTGACATTTATTTACAACAAAGCCACCTAAAGCACCATGAAAAACTACGGTGCATAAAAAACATATTGTTAGCAAAATACACACATATTCAACAAACTTACAATAAAACAATATACAATTACCGTGTGCGCCTTCTATCTAGACACTCTGGAGTTGTCAGTACTTTTCGCTGTCCATATCCTTACTTTCGGTTCAGCACAAGGTTACCTTGTCCATCCTTTTCGCCATTTTCTCGCTCTGTCTCTCACGTAATGGCTCCAATGCGCGCATGCGCATATTGCACAGGTAATACAAGTTCACAACTCCACCACAAGAGGTCAGAAGCGACACACAATAAATACACTATTATAAACAGATTATATACAGAATAAAGATACATGTAAACAAAAATGTTCACAGACAGCTACACTGCCACCAAAATTACAGAAAATCTTTGTATTTACACAAAATAAAATGTAGTAATTTTCAAAACTTTGACCATAAAAAATCTCTGAACTCTATATTTACTATTGAACATTTCACTCGTTTTGCACTAGAACCACAAGTTTCTGAACTGGTCGTTCGAGAAAAGACAATTCTTTTAAGCGTTGACCATTCTTTCCTAACGCTCTCTGTCCCATTTGGATCTTAACCTTTCGCACTAAACCATCATCATCTGGGTAAGCCTGAACTACCTTTGCAAGTTTCCATTCATTTCTGGGGATGTTGTCTTCTTTGAGTATAACTACATCTCCAACCTGTACATTCCTTTTGGATGTATGCCACTGCTGTCTTAAACTGATACTGTTTAAGTACTCTTTGCGCCACCTATGCCAAAACTGCTCTGTCAGATACTGAACTCTGCGCCATCTTTTCCTGGCATATAAATCTTCTCTGACAAATCTACCTGGAGGTGGAAGGGGCACTGCATCCTTCATGGTGAGTAAATGGTTAGGCGTTAAAGGTAAGACATCTGTTGGATCATTGATTGTCTCAGTGGTAAGTGGACGACTATTTACGATTGACATTGCCTCGTAAAATATAGTTCTTAAGGAGGAATCGTCAAGCCTTCCAGCGGCTTGTGCCAGAACAGAACTCATAACACTCCTAACTGTTCTGATTTGGCGCTCCCAAACACCACCTCGGTGACTGGCATCGGGAACGTTCATCTGAAAGTCGCATTGATTTTTAGCTAAGTAGGTAGCAATCCTGTCATTGTCTAGTTCGGAAAGACATCTTTTGAATTTGTTATTAGCTCCGACAAAATTTGTTCCTTGATCGGACCTAATCTGCCTCACTTCTCCTCTGATCGCAATAAAGCATCTCAGTGCATTTATAAACGAATCAGTGGAAAGATCCTCTAACATCTCTACGTGTATGGCTCTTGAGCTTAAACATGTAAACAAAAGTCCATAACGTTTGCATTCTTTCCTGCCTTGTTTCGTGTGGAAGGGACCAAAACAATCTAGTCCGGTGTACGTAAAGGGCGGGGACGGATCTATTCTGTCTGATGGCAAATCTGCCATGCGCTGTTCTTCTGTTGATCCTCTCATCTTCTTACATGTAACACAACTCTTAATATGTTTGGCCACTACCTTGCTGGCACCTTCAATCCAATAACCATTGGCTCTCAATGTATTCAAAGTCTGGTTTCTACCCTGATGTTGAGTTTTCTTGTGATAATAGTCAACTATCAGCCGAGTGACAACCCCTTCCTTAGGAAGAATAACTGGGTGTCGCACTTCAAATGAAACAGTACTTTTTCTCAATCTGCCTCCTACTCTCAGTACATCCTGATCAAGAATAGGGTCAAGTTGATACAACTTGGAACTTTTGGGCAATTGGTTTGAGTCCTGACTCAAATGTTTCAACTCTTGTTCAAAAGCTTCCCTTTGAGCTGCTTTAATGAGTACTACAGATGCTGCTAGCCTCTCTTCAACACTAACAGGACCTGTTTTGTCTCTTTTTGTGAGTCTCTTTATCTTCGCCACAACATTGAGGGCTGTATTCCAGTCAGAAAATCTTGTGAACCTTTTAAGGAAGTAGTCTTTTTCTTGGGTATTTGTTTGAAGAACTTTCACTTCAGGGTCTCCAATTAAAAGTTCTGGAAAGCAAGGGTTGGTTTTCGTGAAAAGCTCTCGCTCCCATAGAAATTCCGGTCCAGTGAGCCAGTTTGAATCAATAAGCTCTGCCACCTTTAGTCCTCTGGATGCGTGATCTGCTGGATTTTGATCCGTTTCGATGTAGAACCATTGTTTTGGGTCTGTAAGATTCCTGATCTTCTGCACTCTATTTGCTACAAACACATGAAAGCGACGGGCTTCATTTTTTATGTATCCAAGCACCACTTTGGAATCTGTCCAGAAAACCTCTTCATCTATCTTAAGATCCAACTCTGATCTCAGAAAATGACTTACTCCTGCGGAGACTGCAGCCGCAGTGAGCTCAAGACGTGGTATTGTAACTACGTTTGTGGGTGCTACTCTGGCCTTTGCCATGACTAATGAACAGTGTACTTTGTCTGTTGCTACAACTCTTAGGTATGAACACTGGCCATAACCACAAGTGCTAGCATCTGAGAAATGATGCAGCTCAATTTTTTGGATTGTTCCAATGTTTTCTGGAATGAAACATCTTGGTATTTGTATCCTCGAAAGATTTTCCAAATCGCAGAGCCATGCCTTCCATTTATTTTCCAATGCAGGTGGAACAGGTTCATCCCATCCAACACCACGCTTACACATTTCTTGAAGAACTTGTTTTCCAGTCAATATGTAGGGAGAAAGAAATCCTAAAGGATCATACACACTTGCGACAGTCGCCAAGATTCCTCTCCGTGTGGCGGGTTTTTCTTTAGGTGTGACATTGAAAGAGAATGTATCCATTTCTACATCCCATTTGACTCCTAAAACACTTTGCATTGGAAGGTCTGAATAGTTAAGATTGACATCTTTGTCATCACAGGCACGCTCTGACTCTGGTAAAACAGTCAAGACATCTTTGTTGTTGCAGACAAACTTGTGTAAGCGCAACTTCCCTTCAGCGCATATTTCTGTTGCATTACTGACCAACTGTTTTGCCTTTTGAACTGAATCAACACTGATCAACCCGTCATCCACATAGAAATTATTGTGTATGAAGCTGGCTGCTTCTGGAAAGTCTTTTTCATGCTCACAAGCAAGAAACTTCATGCCATAGTTTGCACATCCTGGCGAAGATGCTGCTCCAAAGATATGCACTCGCATTCGATATTCCTTGGGCTCAGTGTCTGTTTTTCCATCCTGCCACCACAAGAACCTTAAGAAGTCTCTGTCTTCTGGGTTTACATGAAAGCGATGGAACATTTTCTCCACGTCACAAGTGATGGCTATTTGATGTTGGCGGAATCTACAAAGCACTCCTAAAAGAGTGTTGGTCAAGTCTGGACCTGTGAGGAGATGATCATTTAAAGAAGTGCTCTCGCTTTGAGCAGAACAGTCCAACACAACTCTTATCTTCTTTGGCTTTCTCGGGTGATACACCCCGTGGTGAGGTATATACCACTTGTTACCATCTTCAGATGTGTTGCTTGCTTCTTCTGCATCACCATCTTTAAACACACCATCCATGAATCTCACATAATCCTCTTTGTACTTTGGATTCTTTTCCATTTTTGATTTCAAATGTTTTAGGCGTATTACTGCGAGCTGCTTGTTATTTGGAAGCTGTGGACGTTCTTTGAAAGGTAAGGGCATCTCCAAATGACCTTCTTCATTGAAGTGAACGTTTTCATTCAGAAGCTGTAAGAACTGAATGTCCTCTTGTGAGATGTTTCCTTCGTTGGAGTTTGTGTCTTTGAAATCTGTTTCCAACGCTTTGATGATAGCAGAGGGTGTGATAGATGGTAGCTCTTTAACTGTGATACGATGGCATGCTCCGGCTACATCATTCGAATATGTCCAAGGCTTAGCGGAACCCACTATACTCAAGCCTAAGTCTGTCTTCACTGCATAGGGGTCATAGTCTTTGCCTGAAATTACTTTTTGCGGTTTTAGAGCTCTTGCACAATCATAGCCTATCAAAAGTGCTGCAGGACA